AGAGATCTCAAATAAATATAGAAAATTATGGGCATTACATTCCCATTAGGCCTTCTCCCCAATGCTCTTGCAAACAGACTATTTTAATGTAAAGCTTCTGATACATCCTTACATCCACCAATAAATAAATTTGCTTCGTTTTCTTGAAGGCACTATCTCTTAAACTTATGTGTGAACAAGGATTTTTTTCCACAGTACATTGTGTGCCACAAAACACCAATTTAGGATTCACAGAATCCCTTAATGAGTCAAAAAATGATTAAAAGTAAAAGACACTTAAAATATTTCTATTTCATTGAACTTCACATTTGCACCAGATATATTATGCATGCTGCCATCATTTTCTCTAATGAGGTTTCTTGTAAATCTTGAGGCTTACCTTACATAAGGAAACATTCGAATCATCAGCAAACATGATTATTTTCCCTTGTCTCCTGTTTTCATGCAAATTAATGTTTTCCTTTCTGCATAACTATTCAGCAATGTTTCACTGCTCTTTTCGTTTGTTCATTTGACAAGCCTATCTGTAGTGCTGTGTACTGGTTAAATGCTTTATTGGTGCAGCATCCCTATGAGATGCCCCAGGGCTCAGGTGCCATTATGATGAGGAAGCAGTGTAGCCTAGGGGCTTCAGGGGGTGTGCTGTTCTGTGTGTTTCCATGTGGATGCTGGCATCAAGCTCAAGTGTCCTTCTCTATTGTTCTCTACCTTATTTTTTGAGACAAGGTCTCTCACTGCACCTGGAGCTCACTGATTGGAGCAGACTGGTTGATCAGTGGAGCGCACTGATTGGAGCTCACTGATTGGAGCAGACTGGTTGATCAGTGAGTCCCCGAGATCCAATTGTTTCTACCACCATTGCCACCCAGCACTATAGTCACAAACATGAGCTTCTGTCTTTTACATAGCTGCTGGGAATCCAAATTCAGCCCATCATCTTTGTACAGCAAGCACTTTCCCCATTAAGCCATTTGCCCACACTACCCCACCCCCAGTTTTAAAAAAAAAAATCCACTATATTTTCTCCTTAAGCCACATTAGTTCATATTGTAACTGTGAATTTCATATCATGCAAAGGAGGAAAATCCTAAAATTTTGTCTTGATTTAAATCAACACTGAATGTTCAACTGTGAACATTTTTCTCTACCTTTCATAATTACTTTTCACAATTCTCTCCAGTGAGAGTTTGTTTCTAATCATTTTTCAGCTAATGAAGTGAGATGGCAGCTTTGCATTCCAAAGGCCAACCATCCTCAGTCAGAACTGGGTTAAGATCAGTATTTTATTCCTCAACTCATACATAAGATCTAACAACCCCCACCCCACTTTAAGCATGGAGGAGATACTAACCTTGTAAGTTAGTATCTTAGTACTAGGGCATAAGTGGTTGTAAATCGATTGCCATATTGCTCTGCATCACAGCAACAGCTTTTCAGTTGGATACAAAATATAATATTATTTTTACTATATTTAGTAAATTTTACTATATTTAGCAAGCACTTTACCAACTGAGCCTCCTCACCAGTCCTACGTCCATCTCCTAAAATAGAAACCTACCATCTTCTCAACTATTTAGCACACAGCAAATGTTCAAAAAGCTGAGGTTTATGTTTGTTTTGTTTTTGGAAAGGGAATCAAGTGTGGTGGTTGTAAACCAATAGCAGTAGGGAGGAGGAGGGATAAGAGAGAAAAGTAGAAAAGAAGAGGGGGAGAGAAGCCAGCCATTTAATTGAACCAACTAGCCAAGCCAATGTGTAAATGCTAACCCACTGAGAAAGAGGCTTGCTCAAGTAAAAAGATGTTTCACCTTCACATGAACTCAACGTAGAATGTGGAGGATGAGAATCTTAAAGGAAACAAAACAGCAAAAGGGATATTCTGGGACTCTCAGAAATAAGCATAAAATTATTTTTATCATGTGCACTATGTGCAGTAAACATGCATGTATGTGCCCATGTTCATATTATAGGGACACATGTATGTATGTATGTGCATGTGTGCATATGTTACACTTGCAAGTGGAGGTCAGAGGTGTCATCCACAATAATTCTATACCTTGTACATTGATGTAAGGACTCTTATTTGAATCCAGAGCTCCCCAGTTCATCTAGTCTGTCTAAATAGATTGCTCTGGGGAGCCCATCTCTACCTTTCATGCCCTGGGATTACAGGGATGCTGCCACAAATGCCAGACATCTACATGGGTGTTGAGGATGGAAACCCCAGCAGTTTTTACCATCGCCCTAGCCCAGGACCATAACACTTTCCTGGCCATTTCCATTACCTAATGATATATCCAAGTATCTGTGGTGGTCCAGCCTATCTCACCTGAACTAACAGATTGTTTCATTGCATATCAAGGGTTCTCAGATCAATCGGTGATCTAGCCAAATCTCCTAATCCCAGAGAGTTCTGGGATAAAGACTTAGAGAGAAGAAGCAGAGGAAACAATTCTCCTGAAATTCTTCCTAATGAGCTTGCATCCAGTCACCTAGTGCTGGGAATCAAATAACACTCAGACCTGGAGATATAGCATCTAACAGAGAGTATTTGCCCATCAGGTGAGCAAACACTCACAACCAACCGTGTTCCTTTCTTCTCTTCAACCTGATTCTTGCCTTCATTGCTTTCATCCGTTTTGCTTTTTTCTACTTCATTCAATTCCTTTCTACATATTATGCCCTATCTTCTATCCCTTTGAAGTCTGCTGCACTTAAACTCTCCTTGCTCCCTCTAAGATCCTACACAAATGACCACTCCATCCTTTCCTGATGAAGCATCTTGCCTTCTCTCCCTTGCTGGCCCTTTCTCCTAATTCCTGTCCTAGGATTGCCTAATCCCCACCCCATCCTTCCCCTTGCCCTACCACTAGGACCCTGAGAGTAACCGTGAATTCACCAGGAGTACTTCATTCTCCCCTCTCATCTTGATAGGGTCTATAACCAGTTCTCCTGTTGCTCAGAGATGTGGAGGCAGTTGCTAAGAGACAGTGAAACGTCATTACCTGGCCCTCGAGGAAAAAAAAAGGGGGGAACGAAAAAGAGAGAGAGGAGGGGCAAGGGATGGAGGGAGGGGGAAAGAGGGAGAGAGGGAGGAAGGAGGGGAAGACCTGGCTCTGGCGGAAGCCACACACCAAGGCAGCCTGGGAGCCAGCTGAGTTTCCCAAGAGGCATTCAGATTCCGTGAACTTTCTAAGCATCCTCTCTCAGATTTCCCTTCAGCATAAAAGAAGGGGCACAGGGACAACAGGACAGGAAAACGCAGAAGATGCTGGCCTGGGATCCAGGAGATGTGGAAGAGGAGAGTCGGGGGAGGGGAAGAGCCGAGTAGGCAATCTGTTCGGAAGCTAGCAAGCAAAGGAGTGGGGATTCCAGGATGAGGGAGGCAGAGCCGTTTGTCTGCTGCAGATTGATGTCTGTGTCCTTGGAACAGAGTGAGTAGTCTCCTGGGGGCCTGTGGGAGTATAGCAGGAGACCCTGAATCTGAGAAAAACTGGATCTGTCTAAGGGAGTGCCGGGATGATTTCCCAGTGGCTGAGACTGATGCTCCCTGAAGCAGTGGAGAACAGGGTGGAAAAAGACCGGGAGGATAAAGGGATGGGGGTTGGGTCGGGGTAAGTGAGGACAGCAGGTGGGTAAAAGAGAGGTTTGGTCCACAGAGAATAAGGGATGAGCAGTGGGGTGAGACCCTGGGTAGAATGTAGTTCCCCATCACTTTGCCTGACCAAGTATGTGTGTGGGCTTAAAAGGGAGGCTGGGAGCCCGAGACTGGAACATGAAATGATGCTGGGTTTGGGGCTATGCTGTGGTGTAAAAGATGCTGGGGGCACACTGGGGAGGGGTTTCTGCAGGAGTGTGTACAGAAAGACGCTAGAGGGAAAACTATAAAAGTGTGGTGTGTGTGTGTGTGTGTGTGTGTGTGTGTGTGTGTGTGTGTGTGTGTGTGTGTAACAAAGAGAAGGGGAGAGAGAGAGGCTGAAAGTGTTTGAGAGGGGTATACAAACCACCAGAGCTTGGATGCATGTTTTCTTTAGGGAGTTGTTAAGAGTAGGATGTTTGGTACTCACAGGGTGGAGCTATGAGCAACAGAAACAACTGTGTCCAGCTCCAGACAGAAACCTGGTAGAAGGATTTCAGGTCAGGTATATACAGTTAGTAGGTGACTGGATGCTGGGCTCTGATTTCACTGTGGTCCTCATCTGAAAGATAGAAAGCAAAGAACTTTGTGATTTGGGGCAGAGAGGTTCCAAGAAGATATGTGAGGAATAAGAGAGGAGTAAGGTAAGACAAAGGACCTAGGTAAGGGGACAGGGATGTAAAGGACACTTGATTTCTCTACCTGAATGCTTTTCTTGTTGACAGAGTGAATTCTGCCTCTGCCTGATGAGTACACAGCTATGGTGACAGCTTGAAAACATAGATAATGCTTTCCTAACTGACTCCAACCTACGTCTCCAGAACTCATGGCTTTTTCCAGATTCAGTGACCCAGACAATGGGTGTCACTTGGGACTTACGCCTCCCTGGCCAGCAAAGAGCATCCCTTGAGATTCCAGAGGCCAATAAGATTAAAGAGCCAGGCTTTCAGGAGGCCATGGGAACATACTTCTCCAGGGACCCTTCCTAAATCCCTGTCTCCATGTCTTTTGTGAACTCATGCCCACTGGACCACCAGGAGAAATGGCCTCTGAGACTTTGAATGCTGGAGATCCAGGTGCAATTATGACTTCTTAATGAGTCCCAGACCTAGGACAGAGATTAAGTTTTCTTAGAAGAAGTGCCAGGACCTTTAATAAAAGGCCACCTTTCATCTCTCTCACATCATTCCTCCCCCCAAGAGGAAGCATCCAGCAGGCATGGATGACAGGGCCACAAAAGATCTGCAGGGACCCTTGCAGGACCTGCTGACAACTGCGCCAGCTTCATCTTTGTTCCCCCCATTTCTCAAGCTTTGATCATACCATTCAGACCCTGAGGTGTCTCAACTGGGTCCTTGCTCCCCAGGCTCCACCAAGGGACATCCTGTGGATCTTAGGAAGTCCTTGGGTGCTTAGAAGCTCCCAAGGAAGTCATAAAGCATGATAGCACACTCTCAGAAGCCCCACCTTCCAGGCTCAGGCCTCTAATGTAGCAGTCTCCCTGTACCCTGACTGTTGAGCCTAGGGACACGGCTCTCATGGGCTCCCTACAGCATTGCTGCTGCCAGCTGCCAAAGATGGGTGACACCTGGGCCCAGCTTCCTTGGCCCGGGCCTCCCCACCCAGCCTTGCTGCTGGTCTTACTCCTCTTGGCAACTGGGGTGATGCACTCTGATGCCGGTACCAGTTGCCCAGTCCTTTGTACATGCCGTAACCAAGTTGTGGACTGCAGCAGCCAGCGGCTGTTCTCTGTACCCCCAGACCTGCCAATGGACACCCGCAACCTCAGCCTGGCCCACAATCGCATTGCAGCCGTGCCGCCGGGCTATCTCACATGCTACATGGAACTCCGGGTGCTGGATTTGCGCAACAACTCCTTGTTGGAGCTGCCCCAGGGCCTCTTTCTCCATGCCAAGCGCTTAGCACACCTGGATCTGAGCTACAACAACCTCAGCCATGTGCCAGCTGACATGTTCCGGGATGCTCATGGACTGGTGCATATAGACCTGAGCCACAACCCCTGGCTGCGGAGGGTGCACCCCCAAGCCTTCCAGGGCCTTGTACATCTCAGAGACCTGGACCTCAGCTATGGTGGCCTGGCTTTCCTGAGTCTTGAAGCCCTTGAAGGCCTCCCGGGGCTGGTGACCCTGCAGATCGGGGGTAACCCATGGGTGTGTGGCTGCACCATGGAGCCCTTGCTGAAGTGGCTGCGGAATCGGATACAGCGCTGTACGGCCGGTAAGGAGAGTGACTGGTCTGGTCACCAGGGTGAGGGTTTCCAAAAGTAATGCCTTCCAAAAAAAAAAAAAGGGTGGTGGTGGTGACACTGTGTGCCCTCACCTTTGTACACCTCTTTTTTTGTTCAACAAGTATTTGTTGGATATATGGGATGCATGCTGAGTGCTAGAGAAATTCATTTGCTAAAACACCAGACGTCCCTAGCCTCTATGGTGCCTGTGACCCTAGACAGGAAGACACAGTAAGCCGACTGGGGGAAGCCAGCCACTGGTGGTATTGGTTGAACTTTTGCAATAAGCAGACCTTGACATACATTATCTAAGTGAACCCCCATTTCTATTACTCCATTCTACAGGTGAAGAGCTGAGATGTAGAACCATAAGAAGGCTTGCCCAAAGTCACTCACTTAAAAATTGGCAGAGCTGTAGATACAAACACACTCATTTGACTTCTACTCTAAGTCTCGAGAAAACCCTGAAAGAAACAATCATGAGTAATCCTATTTATTTTAGTACTTACTATGTGCCAGGCCTTATTCTAAGCATATTTCATGTGTTGACTCCTCATGTCCTCATAAGAACCTGAACGAGGAGGAAACAGAAGCACAGAAACATTTCATAGCTTGGAGCGAGGCCTCAAGTCCTGGCAGTCTAGATGTTCTCTGGTCATACTGTCAAGAATCATGTCCTGAACTAAATAACCAAGCTCTGTGCTGGCCAAGTGGCCTTAGCAGAGTCTCCAAGGTTTATGCATGGGATAGGCATCTGGGGAGACAGGCTGAAACCAGGCAGTTTAACTGGAGAGTCCCAACCAGAGAATGGACTAAGGCCTGAAAAAGCCAGCATCATGGAGGTTTGATGAGTCCTGACTTTATCCAGTGGTATTGAGACCTGACCCAGAGGCAGTAAAGTTGAGCCGTGTCCCAAGCCTCCAATGGGCTTATGGTATAGCACCCAGCCTTGGCCTGTGTACCTGGCATCAGAACAATAAGAGTAGCTAGAGCTCTATCCCAGGGATTCCCTAAAGCCTAACTGCAATGCACTTGGGGTGGGGTAGGGGGGAATAACAATGCTGAATGAGGCAAGAAAGAGAGGACTGAGTGGGGAGTCCAAGACTAAAATAACTTAGGGGGGCTGTGGGTCACGATTCCAGTGTTTCCACAGAACTGTGGGAGGAAGTTCTCCAAGACCAAAATAGCTGGAGACTGAGATGGGGTGATGGTGGAGACTAGGATGGGGAGGCTGCCTAGAGCCATTGCCTGCCCAACCCAACCTCTCTGCCAGCTGTGCCTCCCTCTCTTTTGTCACTATTGACAGAAAGAGCCTTCTGGGATATGCAGCTGTCAGCACAGGAGGATTCCTCTTCTGCTGAAATCTCTGGGGGTTCTGCTTTACTGCAGAAGGCCTGGCTGCCTTGGAGAGGAGATGAGACCAGCTCCCATCATTGTAGACTTATATATCAATTCAGGCAAGAGACCTGAGCTCTCAGCAGGAGTGACAGGACCAATTCCCATAGGTGAAGGCTTACACATGGATGCAGGCAAGGGACTCGAACCTCCAAGAGACAGGAGAACCTCAGGTCCCAGCAGTGTAGCCTCAGACATCACTGCAGGTGAGGTCTTGAGCTCCAAAGGACAGTGGTGGTCCTCAGGCTCCCATCCTTCTCCACAATGGACAGGTTACATTTCCGCTTTGAGGTCAAATCTTGCTAGAGTATGTAGACCTGGATGATGTCATCCCTTCAGACATTTTTGTATCACTTCCTCTCTTTTCTCCTAGTAAGATTCTCCAAGTATCTATGCTAGGAGACAGAATTCAGACATTGATGTCAGCCCAGAGCCTCCTACCCTGTATGGCTACTGTGTGCCCTCGGCCTCCTCTAGTGAGTCTGCATTGTCTCACTGCAGCTTTACATACATACATACATACATACATACATACATATACATACATACATATATACATACATAATCAATGTTGGGAGTTGATATTTCCTAGTTTCCAGCAGAGAGCTTCCTGTGAGTTAACTCTAGATATGCCCAGGACCTAGAGTCCTGTGCAACCAGCCTACTGTGTTTGCCTCAACTCATGACTTGGGGAAAATTGCATCCTTATCCCACACATGAAAAAACACATGCACACACACACACACACACTTCTAAGGCTAATGCTATATATACATATCTATCTGTGAAAAGGATCAATCCAGGCCCATGACTTTGGTTTCTGCCCTCAAAAACTGTGTAAAGAATTTATAGCATTGACACAGCCTGTGTTTTTATACACTATAAATTTTAAAGCCTCACATTGACTCACTTGGAAAATTTAGTTTGGATTATTCCCTTCTAATAAAAGCAACACATGAGAGACAGGTTAGAGCTCAATTAGTATTTTTTGTCCTGACCCAGGACATAGGTGTTACTCTGAAGCTGCCCAGATCTGTAGGTAGAACTGCCTCAGAAAGCTGCTGTTACTCTCAAAAAAAAAAAAAAAAAAAAAAAAAAAAAAAAACTGAAGTTAGACCATTGACAGCCATCATGAATTTGTAACCCTAAAGGATGGTTCCACAAGGTTGAAAAGAAAATATATCCCACCAAAGGAGCAGCTTCTTAGCTTCTTCCCCCAGATGTCTGGAATGTAACCCCTGAGAAATCCAACTATGATCATTATAAAAGGCACACAATTTACCTAATGCTTTGTGTGCACCAGAAACATTTGTGGGCTTTAACTCTCTGAATTCTGACTACAATTTCAGAAGGTAGGTATTATGATTATTGTCACTTGACATATACAGAGGGACTAAATATCCACAGTCACACAACTGATGAGATGATAGCTCCAGAGGCCAGGCTCTTGACTGTGTTATCCAGAAAAAAAAAAAAAAAGTGCATGCATGAGTTAGTAACAAGACACAAGGCTTTTAAATTAAAATACCACATCCATTTAAGAAATACCCATTGGGTTCTTACCCATTGGATGCTGTTCTGGTGCTTAAGGCTACTGTGGGGGAAGCATATCTTCAAGGAAGGAGATGCAATAATAAAACTGTCAGACAAGGACACCAGAGGGAAAATAAAGCAGAGTAGGCATGATAGTGAGTGTGGGGGAAGCAAATGCAGGGTGCTCCCAAGGGAAGGCATCCCTGAACAGGTTGCACTGAACAAAGTCTCAAAGGAAGTGAGAAAGTGAGCTACACAGAGACCTAGAGGAGAATCTTCATCGCAAGGGAAAAATATAGAGATGCCCCCTTCCTATCTAAGAGGAGTCATGCTTGGAGCCATGGAGGAATGACAGAGACATGTGTCTCTGGAGCAGAAAGACTAAGCAAAATAAAAGGCTGGGAAAGTGTCTTTGGCATCCTAAGGGAGATGCTGGCTTCCTCTCTGTGTGAAAATGAGAAGCCAAAAGAATGTGTGGAATAGAGATTACCATGTCCAGACTTCAGGCTTTATTTCTCACAAAAGCCCTAGATCCACCATTGGAAGTAACTATAAGACTTTCCACAAACACTCAAGTCTAAGAGCAGTAAGTTGTCACATCTACAAAAACAGGCAAAGTGTTTTGCAGGTTATTGAGATGATAAGCATGTCTGAGGCACATAGAAGAAACTCGGTGAGTCTCCGGAAAGGGTGGGAAACGCTCCCATCCCTTCTCTCCTACAGAAGCCTCATCCTACCTGGGTTCTGTGTTGCAGATTCTCAGCTGGCTGAGTGTCGGGGTCCCCCTGAAGTTGAGGGTGCCCCCCTCTTCTCACTCACTGAAGAGAGCTTCAAGGCCTGTCACCTGACTCTGACCCTGGATGATTACCTCTTCATCGCATTTGTGGGCTTTGTGGTCTCCATCGCTTCTGTGGCCACCAACTTCCTCCTGGGCATCACAGCCAACTGCTGTCACCGCTGGAGCAAGGCCAGTGAAGAAGAAGAGATTTGACACAGGTGCCTCTCATCCCCCCATGCTGCTGTCACTGTTGCTCACCACTGAACACCTTGGGTCATGGTGCCCTGGCCACCTCCATCCTAGCTCAAACAAGGTTGGGAAACTAACTTTGTGTAAGAATCTATCTACTTTGGGCCTGGCACTGTGCTAGCAACTGGGATTTAGAGACCCAACCCAGTCTCTGCCCTTGAGGTACTTACTTTTAATAAAGAAAGCAATTCCAAAACATTCTTTTATGACAAAATGCCAATGCTCTGAGCACAGTGTTAGGGAAGCCCAGAGGAGGGTCCATCATCTGTGCCTCAAAAAGTTCAAGAAGAATTTCAAGAATGATCTACTAAGTAGATAGAAAGGTTAACACAGCAAATGACAGGACATACCATGCAGGGTATGCTGAGGACAGCACACTATATTCCTTGTGGCCTAAGTGTATAGAGGAGGTGTATGCAAAAGCAAAACTTCCCCTCTGACACCCAATTTTTCAGTCCCCTCTGCTACCTGCCATTGCACTTCAGAAGTGAGATGACCTCCATACCAGCTTCTTGACCTCCTCCCACTAGCAACTTCGGGGTGAAAGGAGCTGCCAGTGACTTCCCTATACCGCCCTCAATTGCAGCCTGAAGATGAGGTCCCTGACAATGGGCTGAGGGTAATCACCCTCAGCATCCTTCCTTATATCCCTATCTCTGCCTCCATGTCAAGATTTGTCTTCAAGGAGAAGGCAGAAGGTCCCGTAATGAGGGCAGCAAAAGTCTTAGCACTCTGGGACCCCAATTGTGTGATTGTTCTTTCCATGGTGCTTACACCAAAGGAACACACCAGGAAAGTGCAATGTAGGGCTCAGATCCTAGCATGTCAGTACCCAGGGCAGGAGTACTAAGCCACCACATTCACAACCATGGGACTATATGTCTTTTCTTCTAAGCAATTTGTTCATTTGAGCATAAAGGAGAGCTATTAATTCTTAACTCTTGCTAATGCAGGAATGGTGATAAGCTCCCTCCTCAACAGTTTCCTTTCAGACATACACCAGCCCACTCAGGGGGATTTATTGTTCCCATTTTGCAGTTGAGGGCATCAGGCTCAGAAAGGATAAGGTAGCATGCTATGTAATGATCAAAATGCAATCAGTATTCTTCATCACAATTCCTTCTAAAGCTATATAAATTCAAACTGGAGCCATGCTAATGAAGTTGCTGATAAGGCCCAGGCACTCCTCTGGGCATGGTTGTATTTTCTGACTCATCTCTTTTCATTCTCACTGCCAGGTAGTTTTTACTCTTCTCTCTTTGCAGTTGAATTCATTGTAGAGAGCTGGACTAGTTATCCAAGTTATCTGTAAAAACAAAGAATGTAACAGTTGAGTCCTTTGAAGAAATCTGTATCTAATCAGTCAGAAACCAAGGACTTTGTGGAAACATGATTATTGCCATCTTTGTGGTCACCTTCATCTTCCTCATCTATGTCATCAGCTTCATCGAAATCCTCCCTGTCTCCTTGGGCACTGGAAAGTCCAGGGAACTTCTTTTATATTCCTCACCTTGGCTTCTCACAACCCTGCATGAGAAACAAATCTAAACACAACTTACAGGTAGGAAAGTAGAGGCTCAAGATTATGACTTCATCCTAACGCTGGACTCAGTTCTGCTATGGTTCTCTTCCTAGTGCTTCCTGGAGCATTTGGTGGAAGAGAATGTCCTGGAAGCCTGCATAGTATAATCCTAGAATTCAACAATCATTAACACAGTAATATCAAAAAATCAATAAAAGGCAGTAAATCCCAGCTATGCCCAGATTGTGCTCACAACAGTGGGGGCATGTTCACCTCTAAAACATAGAGACAGTACAAGTGACACCTAAACAGAGGACACCTTTTTAACAATGTATGAGTCCATCATTAGAACTGGTGGCTGTATTGACAGCCATTTTTTAATCAGATCTTGGAAAGCAAGAGATATAGCTCCTACTGTGTGTTGTGTTACAAGAGAAACTAAGGGATCTGAAAAAATGAAAGGTGAGATTCTCTGTAGAAGGGAAACTTAAGACCCAGTCTTGTTGGCAAGACTGGCTTGTGTGAGGATGAAAACAAGAGCTTTTATCTTGGCTCCAACCCCAGCAATTGTCCATAATCCATCCCACAGGTAGCCCTAACATGCATGGAGGAGGAGACTGTGTCATCATCCAACTCACCTACATTGATCTAATCAACCAAAACAGTCCCCAAAGCTTTCACCCTCACTCTTGCTTGTACTGTCTGCTCCTATGAAGTATAGCATAGAATTATGCCCTGCTCTTCCTAACCACCCAACTGTGGCCAACAATGGTGGACTCCAGCTATCATTCCACCAGTTAAGCTTATCTCCTATGGTGTTTTGGAAAGGAACTTTTAGAAATAGTATTCCTGATAAAAAATTATTTAACTTTCCATAGTGGAACACCATGCTCACCTTCAGTAATCTCCTGGGCACTACTGTCTGTTGAATTATAGTTAACATATTTTAAGATATACTACTCTGTTTTGCATAAAATTAGAATTAGACAAGACACCAAATGCCTCTTGAGATCAAGTGTCCTTTTGAATAGCACAATTTGATCTCCATTAATGGCAGACTTCTAAGCAAAATATGCCAAGAAAATGTTTCTCCAACTTCTAGAAGGTACTAAGGTACAAGAAGGGAGACATCCACTACCACCACCATCCTGTTCAGACTGTCAGAACTAAGTGTCTAGAAATAATATACAAATCCTTGTTGCAAGTGTTTGCATATCCTGGTAACCACAAACTATTATATTTCCATGAAGTTTCATTTAGTTTTTTCACACTATCTAACATGTATGTGTATTATGGGGCATTTGTTTATTCATATATATATATTTGGTTCATTTATGTTGGTTATCTGCTGACTTGGAGAACATTCCTTTGGAACTTGGGTTCAATTCTCTGACACAATCCACTCAGCTATCAGGTTGATACACAAATATGGGCCCTATTTGGTTGTCTGTCTGCACAGGAAATATGAAAAGTTCCAATGCTTTAATTGAAACAATCTAATGAAAACCTGGCAGCTTCCCTCTGTCCTCCTCGATCTCCTAAAGGCTTGTCCCCTTCATAGAAGGTTCCTTTATCCTGTGTCTAAAGATCCTGTCACATCATAACAAGATTATGGTGGTCAAGGTCTGAACAAGAAATTTGGTCTTTAGAAAAGGTGCCATGTCTGCACCAAACCATTCTGGACCATGTACTTCTCATTATCCTCGTGAGACCACCCCCTTTTCCATTCTCACCAGGATTCCCATGGATACATGAAGAAATTGGTTGCCCAGAAATGCTATAGTGTTTTGAGGTCTTAGTTAAGGCCTTGGTGTAATGGGTTTAAAGATACCAGTATATGTATTTCATTCTAACATTTGGAAAAAGCCAACAGCTCCATTTTCTCCATAGACACATTTGCTGCCATTCTTTTCAACTGTAGAAGAGCACAAGGAGATACCTTTGTCCATTACTCAAAGGAACAGCTTCCTCAAAGCTAGGGAACCTTGTCTGCTTTTGTGTACCCAGAAAGAGGCAAAAGGAAATAAGGTAGGCAAGACCAAAAGGCCTTTTGTAAATCACAGTGCTGGCCAGGGGCTGGGTCCATAAACCTCTCAGTTTTCCTAAGCACTGATGTCTGGTGGTGGGAGGGTGAGGGAGGAGTAGGGAAGATGCCAACCTTTGTATGGAAATTATTTTATAACCATGCACTTTTGTAACTGTGAAGAATTTTTCATAAATGTACATTAATAATAAAAAGTGTATAGTTTAACTAATTTTTCTAAAGAGTTGTGAAGAGGAGGGAGCGGGAAGGCAGAAAAAGAAAGATAGAAAGGAGTTAGGCAGAACCAAAAGAATGTGTGCCAAAATATGCACACAAAAGGTCTCTGGGGAGGGAATGGATGGGAATAATTAGGAGACATGCCAGCCATGGAGGGGCATGTGTGGGAGGAAAAGACACATCACAGAAGCCTGTTTCTACCAGACCAAAAAAAGAGAGAGTACGTGTGTTTCTTTATGCACATACCGCTGCGTGTAGGCATATTTTGGTATCTGAAATTAAACAAATCAGAGAGCATATGTTTTAGACATGTTGGTGTTTGCAGTTTGGGTCATCCATAAAACATGCCAAGGCAAGTGGGAGTGATTGCCTAGTTAGCATCACTGAAGAGCATGTGCTAGGGAGATGGTTCATGCCAACAACATGGATAAAAAGATAGTAACTTGCATATACAGGTAAATTTACTGTGTGAGTGCTGCTGTGCTAAGCAATATGTGTGGCTTCATTCACTTAATTCCCAAAAACCCAAGATAAAACTAAATGCAGTGGTCCACACCTGTAATTCCAGCACTCAGGATCCTCAGTTCAAGGAGAACCTAAATTATATAACAAGACATGGTCTCCAAACACCATAAAGAAAAAGGCTAAGTCCTATTATCATAACCACATTACATGCAGGAAAACTGAGATGTGGCAGATTAATATTCACTTTGCTTATGTAACCAGCAAGAATAGCTCTGGGTTTAGACAGACAGTAACATATTGCATGTGACCACTGGCTTCCTAGGATAAGAAAAGCAAAAGAATTTTAAGGCGTTGCAGTCTTAATCAGAAGTAAGCCTTCTGTCACTAAAGTCCTCTACTGTAACTGTTTCCTTGATATGCAGGGAGGATTGATTCCAAGACCCACCCCCTCCTGCATATCAAATCCTACAGTTATCGAATCCCTTTTATGTGTGCTTCTTTTATAGCTTAAATTATCTCTGGATTATCTATAATGCCTAATACAGAATAAATGCTGCATAGTCGTTGTAATTCATTGCTCAAAAAATGATAGGAAACCATCTATACAGTATTCAGCAGCAATTGACTTTTTAATATTTTTGATTTTTAATTGATTGAATGTATTGATAGGGACCATGCAGCTAGAGAATACCAACTCTACTGAGTGAAAGAAAATGAAAGAACACCAACTGGCAAGATGACTCAGCAGGTAAAGGTGCTT